CAGAGTCATTAAAATCTTCTCTGTAGCCCATTGGGTCATCCCTGCTGGCAGCTCCTGAGAACGCCAGCTCATTTCATGCCGGGGAAGTAACCTCCTCAGCCATCTCGGCTTAATCTGCTGCTGGAACTAAAGCCCTAAGTTCCTTAAGTTGCTTTTAGGTAATTTACTGCCAGCTCTGTCTGTTTTTACAAGGCTAAGAATATCAATATTTGGGGCAAATAAAAATCAGCCAAAAAAAAGTTTTTTTAGATAATGATATAGATGGTCTCGTGTTGTGTCCTATTTTTCCTTTGGTTCCTATCACTATGTTCAAATTATAGCGGGAATGTAAATATTTCCTGAATGATGAATGTTTGATGATAGGATTTATTCATTGCAACGTTTTACCCGCTCAGTAATAAGATCCCGAAGACTCCACTTGGGCAGTGCAAGGTTTGGAACTGGAGGGATTTGCAGGACCCTTGCAGTGTTCTAATAGCTGTCTTCACATCCTCAGCCAGAGCATTTCATAGGTTTTCCATTAATTACTGCTGGCCATCATACCTGGAGACGACTGTGAAGCGATCCGAGCGCTCTGCCCATTTTTCTGTAGTTTCTTGCACAATTCTCCTGTAATGAACCCGGGCCTGTGTGATTGGGGCACTTGTTTTACCAAACATAAGCTGTCAGGTAACTGTTTTAAGTAAGTAACAGTGCTTTTCTGACCTTCTGGTTTGAGAATTTATTGCTGTGAAGCTGCATTTTTTTTTTTCTTTGCAAAGACTACACGATTCAAATAATCCCTTGCAATGAAATATTAAAACTGGAGCTAGTCTCCCTTTTCCATCACTCTGCCAAATTCATACAGCACTTCTACTGTGTATAATGCCATGAAAGGAAAAACACCTTCAGTTTTGTGATGGTGAATCTGCTTAGGTTCGCAGGCTAGCATCTGTTTGTCTTAATTTCTAGCTTTAAGTGCTATAATGCCTGGAAACAGTTACTTAACTTTTATTGTCCCAATTATTGACATTTTATTAGATAATACCACAAATTTGCTTCAGGACTGCGCATATGGGAGGAAGGGGGGGGTGGTTTCCTATAAGGTAAAATTTGCTAAAGCATAATATATATCTTATTAGTCCTCTGCAAATACTACATATCTGTTCTGCCTGATCTTTACATTTAAGCACTCTGCAAATGGATGCTCCTCTTTCTTCAGGGCCTTTAAGCAGATGGCTTAATTCCTTATTTAAAGTTTGCAGCAGTCATAGGCTTGAATTCAGTGATGATCAAATAGACCTGTGCAAAACGTGAGAATGGATTTCTCACTCTGCCCCTCGGCCTGCCCATCTCCCACTTGCCTTCCCTGCCTCTGCTTGCTGCTTTCCTCCGCACGACAGCAAATCCTGTCTCCGGCGGCCTAGGACCTTAAGATTACACTTCTTTCTGACTCTTAAATCCTAAGTGTGCATCAAGCTCAGATTTTATTTAGCGGAACTGTTGAAGGGACACTCATAGGCTTTTCATCAGTTTTCTTTCTTTTTCAGTGAAAGAAATGGGCTTTTTTTATTTTAAATCCTTGTCTGACTTGAGCGTTTAGCTTTTCTAAAACATTCAGGGTCATCTTTTTATGCCCAAGGCTGTCGCCCATTCTCTGTTACTGCCATTCACTCAAGGACAGCTAAATATGCTTCCCGCCACCTAAAGCTTCTCTACATGAAATGAAAATATTAATGGTGCTGTGCAAAGGACTGGGTGGGTTTCATCTGCCATCGTGTGCACAAGTCTAACCAGCCATGTTAGAAAAAAATTGAAACAGGTTCACAGTAAATGCAGATAAGATTTGTGTGGGAAGAGACTGAAAAGTTGGGCTTGGTTGGCCTTTAAAAGCCAACGCTGAGAGGGGCTGCGCTGTTTGTGCGTCCCTGCGTCTGGCGTGTGAATAAACATGTTGCTGTCCAGGGTTGGAGGACAAGGGTGGTGCAAGAACGGGCGAGTTCAAACTGCCCATGAACGAGAGCAGGGTGAAAGTCGGCAGAGGCTTCTAACTGCCAAAGGCATGGGAGCCTGGAATGGGAAAACTCCTCTAAGGAGAGGAGCGGGAAGGAAAGAAAACCGGGAAATAATCAGATTGGGCTGAATGACAACATTTATTAGCTCTCCAGTGTTGTCTGGCTTCCCGCTGGAGTCGATGCCTGGTGTGTAGAGTTGATCTTCTTCAGTTCCCATTTTCCAGTTCATCTCTAAGCAACTATTCATCTAGAATCACTCTTCTTTCCCTCTTTGCTTGGCTGCTGGGATGGAATAGGCATCTAATTTTATCCTTATCATGTGAAATAGGACATCAAACCTTTATTCTCACCCCAGGTCAACTAAAGGCAGGTTTGGAACTGCATGTTGAGCTTATAATTAAATTCTAATTAAAAAAAAAATCACTAAATGCATACAGGTGCCAGATATGTTGAACGTGGCCCACTGTCATTTTTTTTGACATTTGATTCTTGTGTAACAGCTCATCTGCCACCCTTACATCATTATTCTGTGTCCTCCTTTGAAGTGCAAATGCAAATTGTTTTCTCTCATACAATAGTTGCTTTATATAGTTTTCTTAAGTCAGATCCAAAATTCAAGAATGAGAGATGGTACTGGAGAGTCATGATATAAAAGGCTCCTCACGGTGCCAAGTATTAAAGCACGACAAAGCAATATGTAGCAAATTGCTAAAGCTGAGTTTGTGTTTGCCTGGTATTGATTTGTAGTTAGCTTGAAAGCTGAGTTTGTGGGATAATCAGTGCAAGTCTTAACATCTAGAATAATAGTTGTCATTAATCTGTTGAAATCTGGGACCACAGGGAAATCTCCTTGGTGTTTGGATTCTATTATTAGTTTCCAGATGATGTAAAAATAGTTGGTGGGCAACCTAAAGGTGAAAATGAGGACTTTCTAATTAAAATTCACACAAAAAAGTGCTGAATGCAAGGGAAACAAGAAAAGATTTTGCGAGAGGAAAGACAAATGAGCAGCCAAAAGGGAATTTTTTTTCTAAAATGGTATTTAGCAATATAATGTGGCCATGTAGGTATTTTTTCTGGCATTATCAAAACCAATCTCTCTGTTACAACTTGGGCACCATGTGTAATGAAAACCATATGAACTTTTTGTAAACCTCCTTCAGAAAGGCAAAAATCAACATAAGATTCTTGCACTCTCCTTTCTGATTATATTGTAAGTATTAAAAAAACATGTTTTACTAAAACAGCGGTTTCTATTTTACATTACAGCTAGTGAAATGATACAGGTTAAATGAAAAGACAGAATCTTAGGCTTAGAGAAACCATTATCTATGGTACATTACGGATTAATCAACCAGAAGTGCAAGATATTGCACAGGACACAGCTGATGCCTTGTGTTATTTTTGTTTGCAGAAAAATCTATATTTCATAAAGAACATTAATAACAGATGAATTTGAAAACTCTGGCATTGTATGAAGAAGAATAAAAGGCTTTACTGTAGTCAAGAGAGTTGAAGTTGAGAGTCACAAGTTGTGCATTTATCTTGAGAACTTTAAAGGAACTACATGAGTAGCAATATGTCCAAACCGGTTACTCCAAAATGGTTTGTTTAAAGAGTATTAGCTGAAGCGCCACAAAAGCCAAAATTGCTGGGTTAGTTGTCTTGCCGTTTAAAAATCTATGTTTTCAAAAAGCTTGATGATCTTTTTATGAGAAATGTTACCATTTGAGCTCAAATCTTGCTCCTTATGTGTGTCTCCTAAGTTCTTAGTAGCGGGTATAGATGGGGCAGCTAGAGGCAAAGAAGTCATGACTTCTAGCTACAGGCACAGCAGTGCAGATGTGCTACATCCTTACAAAAAAAAGAGAAGCTAAAAATACACAAATGAGAATCAGAAATATTCAGTAAGCATTGGCTGAATGGAGGAGTATTTATGTGCAGGCTGCTAATGGAGTTCTTCAGGAGCCTCCCTTTTGGGGGAAAATAGCTACAAAATTATTCATCTGGCATGTTTTGGGGCATCAAGAATATTCACCTAATCTGATTAAGGCAGCTTTCGAACAAACAGTTCAGTGTTCAGTTCAAACAGTTCATATGGAAAATAACTTCTAGTTGTAGAGATTGAGCACTTTTGTAGTTTGTTTCTCTTGCTTTGCAGTTTTTGTGTGACTGTGCTTGTAAGCCCATGCTCCTTCCCATCGAATTTGAGGGCCACATCTTTCGATACTGTAGAGCCCCTGTTGCCTGTCAAGCTGCTGGTATTTCTGATACATAAGGAACTGCTTTTCTGATCTCTTTAACCTGCTGTAAAAACTAATCTTTTTAAGCTTAATGCTTTACATATGAACATATTAAGCTATTTTTTTCTTTAGAGCGTTTTTCCGCAGAGCTGAGCGTTCAGCTCCAAGTTTTCCTAGGTACCCAGCAGAGTAGAAGGTTGGGTTTAACTTTGGGGTTGCAGTAGCAAGCAGGCCCCCACCTGGGACCAACTCATGTGATTTTCTTGGCCCTTTTGCTAAATGGTGCTGGCTACTTTGGGCGCCGCTTACAGGGTCTTGAGACTCTGTTTCCAGGGAATGGGCACTTAAGGCCTGGATAACTGTCTGAGCCTTGGCAGCCCCTACCTAATGCTGCGCTAAGAAATGCATTTTGTGACGACTGCCTGCTGATTGGTGCATCATCGGCCAAGGATGCTGAGAGAGACTTTAAGTAAAAACATCTAAGGTAAAAGAGAGGGAGAGAAAAATCGAAATAGAGAAACTGTACCCAGTTGGGTCTACAAGGATTCTTCAGCACTTGGGCAGAGCCCGCATAAAACACGTTTATACATGTGGTAGGTTGGTCATCTTAAGGAGCTCGTTTATGTTCTCCTAAGGGCTCCACACCAGAGCCGTGTAGCACCCGCATGTCTCCGGGCCCTCTAGGTTGATTTTCCGTTTGCAATTCCGTGGTAACGCTCCTGCCCTTTAACCTCTCTGCGTATTCCCTGCCTTTTCCCTTCAGGAGATCAGCGATGCAGACGTGCAGGAGCTGGTGCGAAGGTCCATCGGGAGGTTGACCATTATCCGGCAGACGTTCCCGGTCCCCCAGAACATAAGTCAGCGCTGCTTCCGCGGCAACCACCGCATCTCCTCCTCGCTGTGTGATCCCAAGGACCCCTTCTCCCAGAGCATGGAGGTAGTTGCCATACCGGGCTATGCCCGCCTGTGAACTGCTCTTCGTGATGACTTGCAGGTTTTTTCTCCAGGGGCACATGTGATCCTATATTTATTTTTAATGTCCTCTCTGACACAGAGCTTAAGGATTCATCATGGGACTGGGAAAATACTTGGGCAGGGGGGCAGGAGCAGCTCTGATGGATGAGAAGGATTGACTTGGTGCACAGCAAGCAAGGAGAGGCTGGAAATAAAACCCCTAAGGCCCATACAGTTGGGTAGATGTTCTGCTGTCCTGTTAGCTTGTTGTTGTTATCTCATCATGAAGAGCTTCCTCTGCCCAAAGCCTTATGAACTGCATGCTGGCCTTCTCTAAGGCACAGATGTGCTGGCAGTAGGAAAGCCATCCTGGGGACACCCATGTTGCTCCTTTCAGACTCAATGTCTGGAGGTGTAGGTTTGTGGCCACGTTGCAGAGGGGCCTTATTTTTAGGTATGTAGTTACAAATTTCACTGACCTCATGTCAGTGGCTCACAACTGCCAACATATTGCAGGTTGCCAGTGAGATGCACACGCAAGTACACACAGACCTTCAAAGAGGGCAGAAACCAGAACATATTTGTGCTATTTCCACATTTCTGGTCTTTTGTGGATAGAAACTGTGGGGAGAAAACCTTAATAGCCCTCCTACTGTATGAAATTGGAAACTGCTCATGGTCACTGTCCTACCAAATTTACATATATTTTTTCAAGAGCTACTCCTCTCTCTTTCTCTTAGGATGTCTGGTTAGGCCGAGTCATGGCAAAGTTACAGCAAACCGGGAATGCAAGATTAGATGAAAATATTGGTTTTTACCCTCGTTCTTTGGCATGGTCATGTATAGACGTGTAGAAAGAAGCCTGTATTGGCAGTGGTCCTTGCCTGAGCAGCAAAACCAGCAGTCTTCGGGAAAACCATGAGCCTAACGAAAAAAGGGAGTGAGAGAAAGCAGTGGGAGAAAAACAGGAAGATGCAAAGGAGTGTCCTTGATGAAAATGAATAGCTGTGTAAGGGGAAGGAAGAGCAAGAGCAGTGTGGCCGGTGCCAATTTGCTACAAATTGGCAAATTCCACTGCACGTGTTAGGTGGACTGTGTGTCTTAACCTAAGTGTTCTGATCAAACCACTGCTCGGATAGCTGTAATCTTCCTATTGGAAGCTTTCCTGAATTTTCAGTGCAGCGAAATGATGGAGGTTTGATGAGTTTAACTGCTCTGCACGGCTAAGTGGCTGTGCGCTGCCTTTCCTCAAGAAAGCAGCACCTCGTTAGCAGCAGAGTGAGGTTGTGCTACATAACGAAAGGCAGAAAAAGTCAGGTGCAGCTTCCCCTGTGTCTCCACATGATGTATAGACCTGAGAGCAGCTATGGCGCTTGTTCCCTGTTTCTTTGTTCTTCCCAAAAATATTATAAATTAACTTCTGTTCCAGGGGGAAATGGGAACAGTTTATAAATTGAAAACCTTATTTTTAGTATTTTTTATGGTATCAAAGAGGGAACCAATCAGAAATAGTCTCTGGAAATTGAGTGGATTTTTTGAGTTTTTTTCTAAATTACTTCACCTAAAGGCTATGTGAGTAATTAATTTTTTAATTTTTGAATTGAATTCAATTTTAAGCATCTTAATTGCAACACTGGAAAAGATTTTGATGACAGTCATTCATTGTCTCTGTAGGATTGACCTTGTCAAAACAATCTCTGTCACTTTAGAGGCCCTCCTGAAAAGGCAGAAGAAGTTAAAAGTTGGATGACTAGCAGTTTTTACTGCTGTTATCCTTTAGGCTAAAAACGCACCTAAAACTCAGCTAAAAACTAGTCAAATTGTACAGAGGAGAGACATAATTAATCCATATTAATCATCTGTGCTTAATTTATTTACTAATATCTTGCTTCACATTTCTTAAAGTAAAGTTCATTTAGGTTAACTTTAGTTAATATCTAAAGTTAATGGTGCAACTATCTGGCGTTATTCAGTTATATACAGCTTGTTATTCCAAGTGTCCAGCGATTACTTGGAGAGAGACTGGGAATAAATGGAGTATCAGCAACTGATACCGGGCAAAGCATGAAATACCTTGGTAAATTTACATGGGAAACGAGTAAAAGTGCAAAGTAACTTTAAATTGCAGCCCTGCTGTGCACTGGGACGATTATTAATGATGCGCGAGCCTGGCAGTGAAAGGGAAGGGTGAGTTTCAGAATCAGAAATTAATTGTAGTGTCTTTATCATTGTTTTATCAGTGATGGATTGCTGTTAATGCTAAGCTGAACTGTTAGGAAAGGAATAACAACGCTTAGTAATTGCTGAACTCTGTCCTCCTGAGCACGATTAATACTTGATGAAGGCCCAGCTCTATTACTCTTAGATTAGTAAGTGCATCCTTCCTCATGAACCGTGACAACAGCTTTCTGTTCCCATGCCATTAGGTTATGGAAGCTACCTTGAGAGCAATGTCATTTTGTTGGGAAATGATGACTTGGCACGTGTAGCCCTTCATGTACCAGTTTAGCCTCATTAGTGCCCTTATTGTCGGTGCGCCCTACGGGCTTTTTCCTTTTATTTTGGTTATGTAAAGTGTCCTCGGGTGTCCAAGAGCTGTAATAATAACTTCTTTCCCCTCAAACCAAATGTCCCCTTCATGCAGGCTTCTCTGGGAAAATACTGTGGTAGCCAAATTCTTGGAATTCTTCGTAGATGTAGGGAATATGTAGATAAAGCAACCAACTGGTTTTTCAAGTGGTGCATGAATCTGAACCCTCGCGCTCGATCCATGCCTCTAATCCTCTCATTCACGGTCTGTCCTTGCAGGAGGTGAGTTAAATAAATTAGGTCCTATGTTACTCCACTGACTTTGCAAACGAGAGTAGTCAGAATCCCTGGACTTGGTGGGAAAGCTTGAGTAACAATAAAAATCCATCTCCCAGGAAGAAGGGAGTGAAGGATCGTTGTCATGCAAAGAAAAAGACAAACAAGGATCAGCAGCTCAGTACTAACAGCACAAAGTTGTAACAGCAGCAGGGAATCCCAGGAGTTCATGGGAGGAGAGAGGCAGACCATGAGATCTCCTTCAGTAAGATGTGGGAGGTGAAGTGCCTGGGGAAATTGTGTCGAGGTGGGGAGGCAGATCAACTCTCTCCTGGATCATATGGGGGAAGAAGCCTGTCACAAAAGCTTTCCGGGAGGCTCGTACGGAGCAGATTGCAGACGACATAGTCAAAGCCAGCATGAAAGGTGGAATTTACATAAGAAAATCAAAATATACAGTACATGACTCTATTATAAGGAGGAATTGGGCAGGAAGAGATGCTGTTCTGTTTTGCTGTTCTGTATGTGGGTTTCCTGTGGAAATACTCAGAATTGCTGTGCTTCCTGGCCTCTCCCTGCTCCCTGTTCCTGCAGGACTTTCCCAGTCTTTGGGTATTTTCACAAGGCAGAATAAGGGCATTCTCCCTAAAGCTGGCGTGATTTCTTATTATAGATATCCTTCCTTTAAGGTTTTGAGTAGACCATCTGCACAGAGGAGCCCTTGCATAGAGCATTTAACATATTCCTCAAATCTGGGTCTTTTGGCAAGTCTGTGACTGATGGAGAAGAAAAAAAGAGGCAGCAAGCCTGCCTCAATTAGCAAATTGCTGCTAGCTAATTTGTTTTCAGGGGCTAGCAATTCTCACAGCCCCTTTCACAGCAGAGCTGAGGAAAATGAGTTTGCCTTGATAACTGCAAGCCCCGGGGCTTCAAATGACCCGCAGGTTATCTAAAAATAATATTCCCAAAGGTCCCTCGCCTTTAGGAGTGTCATTTTGCTTTCCAAGCACCTGTGGTTCTATTTGGGGTGCTGTTAGCAACTTAAATGTTTCTGGCATTTTGAGACATGAGTGAAAAAAGGCTGCTCTTTTAAAATTATTTTTGGAAACATTTATGATGGTGCACTTGTGTTATTTTGTATTGAACTGCATCTTTCGCATTCGACTCAGTACTGCATGCATTTAAAAACACATATATAGAAAACGTAGCAGGCTAAGTGGAGTGGGCTGACAGGGTTTTTTGTTTGTTTGTTTTCCTGAGTTGGACTTTCCCTTAGTTGATGCTAAACTGGAACTTCCTGACACCATTCGCGTGCCCACGTGAAGTACAGACGTGCAGCAGAAGTGATGGTGCATGAATGTCTGAAAAGTTCCTTGCAACTTTTCATATTTAAAGGAAGTCTGTTTAAGTAAATGAGCTAGGCTTTTAATCCTGGAACTGTGCGAGTGACTGGACTGTGCATGGTTCATGTGTGTAGTTTGTATTTGCCCATCAACAGTAGCGTTACTGTTCCAGGCTGTTGTGACTAGTAAAGCAGTGATTTTTTGATTCCCAAATAAGCCATTTTGTTATGAGCAGGTTTTGGGCGAGGCGAAGTTCTGGCTGATGAGTTCTGGCTGCTGGCAGGGCACCACAAATAATCCCCTCATTTCATATCCTTGCAGATCTCCAATCTGTACATATATGACACTGTCCTGCTGCTGGCAAATGCCTTTCACAAGAAGCTGGAGGACAGGAAGTGGCACAGCATGGCCAGCTTGACCTGCATCAGGAAGAACTCGAAACCGTGGCAGGGAGGCCGCTCCATGCTGGACACCATCAAGAAGGTACCTGTCCCTTCTGTTTATTCACCTGCAATTTCTGAGTTAATTGCATTGAGATGGCCTTTCCTCTTGAGATCTGGACTATTCTGGCTAGTACTGGCCTTATCAAAGCAGTAGTTTGAAGTCTTCAGAATGAAAACACTCTCTAGATTTTTTTATTTCTTTTCCATGTCACAAGGAGCATATTTGAAGTTAATTAATTGAGTCTGTTTATTAAGCTGGTAGAAATTTCAAGTACAAATAATACATTGGAAGAGTGTCACAGATGAAGGGGTAAAGCAGAGAATTTCTTTTTTCCTGAAGCATTTTATGTTACAAATAAATCGTTGTACACAGAGTAGGATATTATTAAAAACAAACGAACAAAATATTGGACAATTATATCCAGCTGATATTGTCAAATGTGTTGTTGCAGTGCTATCAACACTTGTAGGGGGATCATAGAAATGAGAGCTGTGTTAGGGGATCTCGTCCATATCCAGCCATTGCAAAACTGTTCCCTATAGGAGACTTTTGTCTAACCCTGAGTCTGCTAGATGAATCACTCACTACTTCCCTGTGAATATTATTTCATCCCCTAATCGTGCTTGTGTCCAAGTAATTTTTTCTTCCTCTTCTGCATTTAATGATATTTTTACTAGTTATTCCCCTTCTGTCATGATATTGACACCTGCCACAATTATCCCAGCCTTCCAGGTCAGTATTTAGTCAAAACTTACATAGCTTGATAGCTTACCATTTCTTCATGAATTATTCCATTCAGCCCATTTGGTCTCTTTGTTATTGATGTCTCTCATAAAAGCGCCTTCTCGTTTGTCTTAATGTACTTTCTGCTGAAGTAGATTTACATTTGAAGTGCTGCCAGTGTATGCACTGTAAATAAAAAAAGACATGGTAGTTTGGGGTTTTTTTTTTTTCCCTTTTTGAAGTGCTTTATTTAAGGGTTTCATTAAAAGGACATAAAAATAACTTAAAATCTGCCTCAAGAAGTTGCTTTCCTGCATTAGCCCTTTAACTACACCAGAAATGATGCAGGCAAGAAGGAAGGACTTGAGTGGCTCTGCAAGGCGGCTCCTTTTTTTTTCCCCCCAGTTCTGGGGCTAACCTGCATTATCTCCAGCAGAGCAATTGAAAACTTTCTCCAAACACTGTCCCCAGATTGAGTTCTAATAGCTGGAAGTTGTGAGCCTGCAGAGGTAATCTAGGATGCAGTTCTTATTTTGGGGCAGGTTACAGCTTTCTGCAACTTTCAGTTATGTTGCGCTTAGACTATCAGAGCGACTTGCAATGCACATTTTCCACTCCTGTGTATTTTGGGCTACATTTAAAGCAAGGCTGATTACAGGGCTTTCTTATCAACTTGCTTTTTGTAAATGCTGTTGCTCATATTTTCGTTGGCAAACTAAAGGCTATTCCTCCTTTCTGAAACCCAAATGGAGCTGCCTGGGCTGGCCAAGTCAGAATAACTACTTCCCTATTAGAGTTTGAGTTTACTTTCCAAGCTCGGAGTTTTGAGCAAACTCCATCAGCCCTGCCAGCATCTCTAAATTTAGGTCCCCTGTGAAAGGAACTGCTGAATATTTCTCATCATAAACATTTATGGGACATTTGTGGAAGTGAGGCTGATCCTGTCCTCCTCAAAACATCCTTTAAGCTGCTCCTTATCCCTCTTTTGCTGTCTTGCATCTCAGCCGTGGAGTTTATTGCATTTTTGGCCACATGGTCCTGGGTAGCCTAAGTTCATCTTTTTTCTATTTCCCACCTTCTAAAGTCATACGATTAATAAAGCAAATTGATCCTGTGGCCACTCACAGAAGAGCTGTGCAGCATTTAAGATAATTTGGCAATGCTTTACCCTGAAATCTGAAGAAAAAATGGACAACCAAGAAATATGAAAGCATTCAAGAAGGCAAAAGCAAATGGAACTTTCAAAGTTGTGGTTAACTTGGATCAAATGCCAGGGAAATTCATGACATGCACAGCTCCAGCCAGGCTTGTCACCTGTTCTTGAAGTAACAGAATAGCCCTTTGAATCATCCCTGCTGTTCTTGGTTATTTTTCACTGTTGAACATGTGATTTCCAGGTCATTATTTTTAAAAACAGCTCCAAAATTGTTCCTCTATGTGAATTCTGCTGATTTGACAGGGCCTGAAAATCATTCCAAGCCCGCTTTTATTAATGAGAACTAGTATCTGTCCCTATCCGTTCTAAAAGTGAATAATTATATTCCTTAGGCAGCATAACTGTACTGAGGAATTTGGCCAGCTTCCGTGATTCATCCTGAATTCCCTCCTTCAGGAGGAACTATCCCCAAACATGCACGTGGAGTTGCTTGTTTCTGCTTCGCAGTGACAGAAATAACAGTTACTGGAAAACAATCTACTGTTAGAAGAACTAATCATCCTAAATATCCCAAAAATAAATGCGATTATATGGAGGATCGACTCAGAAAAATGACATCAAATATGTGCATGTATCTTTTCATGCCACCAGACCTCTTCCCAGTCAGTCTCATTTGTTTACCTCTGACAAACAGCAAATTTTAGGGCTAGCAGCAGCCTAGAGCCTCTTTCTCTGTGGAAAATGAGCTGTATCTTATGCTGTTCCATGAATCACAGGCAGGATTGTCAACTAGTTCTGATCTCAGTGACGTTCAGTGGTGATATATGAAACAGATATCAAATTGTTTTTCAGATAATAGATTTCCTTGCTGACAGCTGAAAATGCTATTTTGAGTTGTAAACCAAACAAATTTGATACTGCAGACATTGTCAGAGAACACCAAATGCTCATAGTCCGTGTTTAGAGGATTTTTCTGCTGAGAGCCACCGATTTTTCCTTAATTGCAAAATAGCTCGTATATCAGCACCGCTGTAGTTTGCAAAAAAAGGGACATTTGAAAAGGAGCAGGGAGAAGCAGTGAAACATTTTATACCTGATGCTTGGCAAGCTGATGTTCCCATGTGAGCGCCTGACTGCTGGGTAAATAACCGCTTAGATCAGGGACTTGCTTGCGGAATAGCAGTGCCCAAGTGTTTATCAACTGTAGTTTGTCTTGCTAGTGCATTGCTAGTCCACACAAGACCCAAGTAGACTCCAGCTATATTGCTAAGCTCTATAGCAGCTCTGCGAGGCCCAGAGCAGCGATCAGAGACCTAAGTAAAACATTTTTGTCTTAACGACCGACATTTCACTCCTCAATTTTAAACGTGTCAGGAAATTGCGTGCTTGTGGCTCAGTCTTGGAGGAATTTTAGCAAGGAGACGATAAATCTGCCCTCCTTTCCTCCTGAATAGTATTGTTTCTTTAAGGCAGCTGAACTGAATGAAATATTTCTGCCTCTTACCCATTATCTTAATTAAGGGTGAGATAACTCTGAAAAAATTCATCAGGAAGTTGCTGGATCCGTAACTGTCACGGATGGCCATTTCCTCCATGGGCTCTTTCCACTATGCAATAAATCAAATAAATGTTTTAGGGGGATCCAGGTAGTGCAAAGCCTATGCAAAAAAGGAGAGGAGTGCTGTCCTAAAACTCTTCTTAGAGCCGAGAGCAGTAAAACAAGCACCGGTGCCATGGGAAATGCTGCGAGGGCAGCAGGAGCTCCCAGATACGTTACCTGGGCTGCTAGGCTGGGCACAGTCTGGGAGAGGGAGCTCTAACCAAAGGCAGACTTCCACGAGAAACCTTCAAAATTCCCACAATATGTAAGAAAGTTTCTGTTGTGGCGACTGCTGGGTTTGAGATAGGAAGAAACCAGCTCACGGACTTGTGTGTCTTGGTGCAACCACAGCAGCCGTGTAAAAGTCAAGGTAAACAAACATACACAAAGGTTTTGCTGTGGATACTGCGTTTCAAAATATAGTAGTTAAGCCTGATGGCCTTTATGAGGTGTTAGGTATTGTGTCTATGCAAAGAATTTGGGGGTTGTTTTCTTGGAAAGCAGATTTTATTCCTTCAGACATAACTGGTGTTAAATCTCTCTTCAGGTAATCCTTTTGATGGCATTTGTTCAGACAAGGACAAGCGTTGCAAAAACAAAGCAAAACCTAACTTTTTGAATTTGCTATGTCAAGAATCGTCCACTTTTTAGAGAAAACTGCATATTCATACCCCTCCAATTATTCGGACTACTCAGAAGTTGGAAAAAGAATCCACTTTAAAAGCTCCTGATTTAAAACATCTTCATTCAAGGTTTTGCTTCAATCCCTAGAACTACTGGACCATGACAGTTTTTAGATCAAGTTTTGAAAAATTGTTTTGTGAAAGGTTATCAGAAGTACTGCCTGACCACGAGGCTGCTTAATAACAACATAAGGTGTGTGCAGCACGGTTTCATTTCTGGTCAGTGAATAGGACAAGGCGAACCTTGAGTTACCAGGAGTCTGGGTTGTATTCCTGAAACCCAGTCCTTCAGCTGAGGATACATTTGCAGGACTTTCCAGGCAGGCAGAAGCTCACTCTGCCCTCTGAACCGACCCAAGGCTGCACCAGCTCCAATATAAAACTCTGGAAATTGTCGTTTTTACAGATTTGTGCCCAGGCTAGTAAGGAATTTTAACGCTGTGCCACACGTAGTGGCATGTGTTGAAATGGGCTGGCTGGCTCGCACCGAGGCTGCAGTGACCCGGGGTCCTTGTGCAAAGGACCCTGTAGGTGGCCCTTATGCAGCAGGTTACCCTTTTCTTTCTTACTCTACTGCCTCAGCTGAAAAGTAAAGATAATGTAAGAGGTTAAAAATACACATATAATAAGTATTTCCTTGTTTTAAGTTGAAAATAGCATATCATAAAATATTTATTTTGAGAATGTTTCCTTGACAATACTATCCCCTTATGAGTTTTTAAGGTCTATCTCTGAACAATTTCCTTATTTTTATTATAAACATATTAATGTTTTATAAAAGGTTAGCACTATTTCACGCTAATATGCACTGGCAGTGCAGAGCTCGGGTCCTCGCACAGCTTTTCTCGCTATACAAGATGTGAGACTATAGCTTTTTAAATCATGATTCAGCAAGAATCTTGTGCTTAGCTAGGCACTCCATGTGACAAGAAGTTATCTGGAAGGTTTTTGATTCAAATAATCAAACTTCAGCTGAAAGAGCAATCAGAACTGCAGCAGTCTCATCTTTTTAAAGCACAGCTATGCATTAATATCATATTGTGATTTTAATAACGGTTTTACTGCAGAGACAGAAATTGTCCTGCACATACTTAAAATCTTTTTCTTTTTTTTTGAATGAAGTGGATTAGCTGACATATTTTTTTCAGAATCTGAAAACGGAGTGATTTTTCTAAGGCTTAAGGTTTTAACTGTAAGCATTTCACTTGGCTTGGTTGATTTTTACAGTTCCAAGGCATGCCGGTTTGTGTACAAAGCTGAATTGTGTGTCAGGTTGAATTAGCCCTAGAGTATGCTCAGTGCATTGCTGTGGCATGTGTAGCCTTTTCAACTCCCAGGCTTAATGGTGAATATTCACTCTTTTCTCTTTGCAATTTTCACCGCCTACACCTACAATTAACAAAAATCTTGTGAATTCTTAGGACTAGACAACTTGTGAAGGAAAACGTAGAAATCTCTGTATTCAGCTAGGGAACCCTCTCATCTTTTCTGCTGATCACAGATTGATCTAATGAACTAATGAAAAAACGTGGAACCTGGTTGTTGCTTGTTTGATATCTGTTTAGCAGTGTTGAATTTGATTAATTGGTGGAATATTTAAGCAATACAGAGACAATTGAATTTTTAGGCAAATGCAGTCTCTGAAAAACTCTACTTCTGGTAGTTATGTACATATTCTGCCTATGTAAATACAAGAACTTATTGACTACTTCTGTATGTTCAATCTGGTCTCTCTTTTTTCCCACTAGGGTGGAGTGAATGGTTTGACTGGAGAACTCGAATTTGCAGAAAACGGGGGGAATCCCAATGTCCACTTCGAAATTCTGGGGACCAATTATGGAGAAGATCTTGGCAGAGGCATCCGCAAGGTGAGGCTGCGTATGTTTAAAAAAGAGACTGTTTTTATTACTTTTCATTCTTTAAAATTGTATTTTTTATTGCAAAGAGGTCTTGCAGTAGCTGGTGTTGATCAAAACGTTATTCATCATACGCAGTATTTAGACTGTTGGTAGACTGGTTAAGAATCTGATGTAGACTTCTTTTGTAGCAGCTGCAACTGTATTTGCAAGATAACAAATTGTACATGAAAAAACATGTTTAGAGGACCAGATTTCTGCTTGATGTGTATGGTAACAATAAGTAGCTCCAATAACTACTGCATGCAGAATGTATAGGTGCAGAAACAGAAAAGGAAAAATGCAGAATTAAGTATACAAAATCTCTGTGATCTTGCGCTTTTGGGCAGTACATAAGGGATGCTTTAGTAGAAATGAACTTCTACATAACAGGTCTGATGTTAGATCCTCAGTTGCCAGACGGTCTGAAAACTTGGATTTAGATTATTTGGGAAACTTGCATAAATTGCACTCATCTCCAAGGTTAGTATCTTGTACTTTGTCTTTGCATTTGGGTTTTGCTACATGCTCTATAAAGGTAAGTCCTATATGAAGAACAGTGGGAGCAGGTCTCTATTTGCAAAGTATATCCTTAACTCAGTGTTGGTAACTTACTTTCTGAGATGGTAAAAGCCACAGAAATCACCAAGTACCTTTTAGAAAAACAGAAAACCCCTAGACTTTTTCAAGAGCAATTCTCATCCGTCAATTCCAAGATAGATTTCCCGTAAGCTAATACTGAGGATAATCCTCCTCAATGAGGAATGTGAAGTGATTGTCTCAAAATGAATGATAGAGAAGGTTATTTTTCTCTGTGCGAACTGGGTGCATGTGTCAGTGTCACTGTGTGATACAGGACGTTGTTTGGTTCCCCACCTTCTGCAGTAACAGGTAAGTGCTCCCAAAAAAGAGAGAGATTAAATAAGAAGGTAAAAGTGCGTCTAAACTCTTGATTTCTTTTTTTATCCCCTGCTTTCCATCAGGAGAGCTGTTACTCCATTCATGCTGCTTCGAGCTCTGTTTTATCCCCTGTTTTGAATCACTGAATGTACACAAGTGCCTATAGCTGTATGACCCCGAGCAGAGATGTTGCCAGCTGCCTCAGAAGCCGAGCGGGCCTGGATCTTGTTGCTACTTGGACGTGTGCATTGCAAAGCCTTTAGGCGAGCACTGTGCTGGCTGAGCCTTTATTCCCTCGCCTCTAAATTGAGTTCCTTTCAACATATTTGGATTTGATTTATTTTTCTGTGCTGTGATTTTAGGAGCTATTTATTTTTTAGAGCAACTAACTACTCTTTCCTAAAACCAACCTCTACATCTCCATTTATTTTAACTGGTAGGTTTGGGCAGCTTTTTGACCGCAGGCCTGTCTGAGTGAATGCCTGAAGCACAGCATTGAATTCCAATCTCCCCCTAGTACAAAACCATGGAAGAGAAAGAGGAGACCACCAGAAAGGTCTAGGAAATTAACAGGAACATAGAAAGATTATAGAGCTTTTCTCTCTGTTTTCATATGGTTTACTTAATAGTGAAGATTTCAGCTGTGATATAGTTTATATGTATATGACCACTAATGAGTGCAGGTGTGGGCATGCAGAAGGTGCACAAAACAGTAAAATATTACAGGCTTCTCCAGCGTTCCTGTCTCTTTCTCATAGTACAAGGACAAAGAGAAGTTCGGTGACTTTGAGTGGAAATAACTTGAAACTGGGCAAAGGAAATAGTTTAACACAGAATTCAATTAGTGTGTGAAATTCACTGCCCCAAGACCTTACTCAGAATAAAAGCAAGTTTTTAAAAAAATAATGTACTGAAAATATATTTTTGTTTATTTGATTGCTTTTTAAAACTTGTTTGGTGAAATGAACATTTCAAATAGCTTATACAAAATATAAGAAAATTTTGGAGCCCTTTTGAAGACTCCAAACTAGCTGTCTATCTGTGGACTTTTGTGTGAGGCACTGAATATGATTAAAAAGAAAGAACTCTCCAGAGCAGAACAGATTTAATCTATTCCTTTTTTTTTTTTCTAAATGGCATTCAGTGATTCAGAGGAAACCCTAGGAAGTCAAAGTAATTCCAATTAAGTATTTTATTTTTATAAGTAAAGTAATAAATGGATTTTTAAAAAGAAAAATACAAGTTATTTATGCAGAAAGTCAAATACACAATTAAAGTACAATCCAGAGATTCTAAAACATTTAGAGAAAGAGGAAAGAATATTTGGGGGGGTGAAAATGTTGGTTTTACTCTTTTGAATAAAGTTCACATTTTAACTTTAATTAAGTTTTGCTTCAGTTTATGAACCACTAAGGTTGGAAGCAAATCACAATAATTGCAGAAGTCAGATATGTTTTTGTTAGCAACACTCTAATTAAAGTGCACTTCAAATTTTCATGCATTTAGTGGTCCTAAGTGTCAGGAACTACCTAACTTTTTATTCCTCAACTCTAGTGGAAGCAGCTGCAATTAGCAGACTGAAATTTCTAAACAAATATATCACCTTTAATTAAGGTGTTTCCAGAGTACTCTTGTAGGAGATAATGAAGGATGAAATCATGACAAAAGACCCATTCAAGTCATTGGGACGAAATGTTCACACCAAGTCAAGCGTGGAAAGATTTATTTATTTTTCCATAAGGAATAATCAATTGATTTTAATTAAAGCAAGTAAAAATTCTAAAAGCACTCAATTTCTCAAGAGTCCACGTCCTGTTTAAAATCACTGCTGTTTGGGTTCCTGAGTCATTCAGCTACTTCTGAAAAGTTCATCTGTTCTCCCAGGCTTACAGGATTTTAAAAAGGAACTGATCAGAAGAAAATGAGGGAATGTTGTAGGTATAAATGTAATCAAGCCTGTAGCTACCAGGAACTACGTACAGGTCTCCCTTGCACTTTGGTGGGCACTTCTTATTACAAGAGTATTCGCATGCAAGTCCAGTGGGGCCATGGGCCTTGACCGAGCGCAGAATTAGCAAATGGAGCAGCAGAATTGCTCAAAATGCATGTTTTTTGTGTGATTTTTTTTTTCCCCCCAGAAGTTCTGGATCCCGGCAGCAGTGCACTCCAGCACCTTGCAGGCAACAAGCGGCTCAAGCCAAGTCCGTGGTACTTGGAGAAGGCAGCCGGGTCCCTGCCACATGCTGCGTTTGTTGGCGCTGCTGCTGCTGCCCTGAGGGCCCTGCAGAAAACTGGCTTTGCAGATCCTGTTGTGGCCTGGGTTTGTGCAGATATAGATATATTCAGGGGGAGGCCAAGGAGTGTTTCTGACATTTCTCTGTTGGCATTTGTCTGCTGGTATTTGACATTTGAGTATGTGTTCTCTGACATTTAAATTTGGGTGAGGTGCTTTTATCTATACTGTTGAAATAAAAGCTGCGGTTCCCCTGAATACCCTTCTAACAAACAGGCCAACAAAGCGGGGCTGATTGCTTGGAGGATTCTGTTTGATATCATGGTGGTAGACACAACAGCACCGCTGGAATAGGGCCATTTTCCCGCTTCTTCAGAGTCTGCTGTAATTGAGAAGCAGTTTGTCCTCTAAGCTTTGGAGTTACAGCTGCTTTTCTTTTGATGCCCTTAGGAAGGGAAGAATATATACTTGATATTAGGTAGTGTAAACATGTATTAAAATGTAAAATTTATGAGCATATGTAACATTAAAACCTGTAATGCAATATCCCAAGCTCTAAGCATTTCATGTGAATGTGAGAGACAGAGGCCTTGACCACGGTGCCTGGCAAGAAGCTGTTCTGGGTCTCTCCTTCTGCCGGTGCTCGTGGCAGGGTCAACACCTGCAGACTTGGTGCTGTAGATCAAGGGCTGCTTGGGACATTGCATCGTTGTTCCGTTGGTTCAGAGATGAGGAAGTTATACTGCACTTTTTTGTTTTCTTTCTGGTAAAAAAATTGCTACTCTTTCCTCTTTATCTGGGAAATAACTGTTGATTACAGTAGCAGCGTTGGTTTGCTTTCAGATCTTTCAGTTGTATCCATCAAGAAGTGACATATGTTACACCTATTTGTCTGGATTCCCTCCTGGGAAAGTTGCTGTCTCTTCTTACCAAGCTAAATCGTTCCGTCTTTAATTTCTTATTCCCTTCTGCTTTCTTGGGTGAAAAGAGAAGTTAGACAACTCCGATGACCCCAATTAACTAACATTATTTAACATTATTTAATAACCAAGAGCAGGCAAAGCATTTTCGTCTTGGGTAGCCTCATGGTGAGCTGCTTGAGGTAAGTGATAGGTTCACTCCTTCCCTTTGTGATCGGCATCAAAGGTAGGGAATTAAGAAAACCCAGCACTTAACTGCTGTAAGGTGTTTCAGCTATTTCTAAAGGCTAACATGCAATTTATGATGTGACTGAAAGATACACTTGCAATTTACAGCAACGTTATTGATGGTGTATATTTTAGGGAGTTGAAAAGAAATGTTGCTATGTCTGAAAGCTTTGCCTCTGGTGTTGATAGAAAAGATAAACTTAGCTCTCCATTAATTGTTATTCTCCTTAAAGCTACTTTTAAGTACGCAAGCAGCTTGCTAGAAATGAGATGAACTACTTAGTACTAAAGGTAACACTGTGATTCAGGGCTTGGTTGCCTCCTCTTCCAGTTCAGCACAGTGCTTAAATCTGCTATAAACTTACTGGAGAGCCTCATATTCTCCCTGCATCCAGCCCTTGGCAGTCTGTGGGGGTACCATGACCGATGCCGTGCATCATCCTGGCTTCTGCGAATCTGTGGAGAAATTTCAGTGAAATTTCATTTGAGCTAGGGATTGTTGGGAATTTGCATGTTAGTGCAATGATGCCAGTGTTAGCAAAGAGTAACTTAAGGGAAAATGCCCTTGTATTTAGCTGCAAAATCTAAATGCAGACTTGAGTCTAACAAAAAGTGGGAAATGCTTTCACCGTAGTTGTACCTACTGGACTTTTCAAGAGTAAAACAAGGGAGAGCTGTATTCCTGAAATGCA